AGGAACACTTAGATGTGCAATTCCCCGCAGTGGTCGGCACACGACAGATCGACTCGGAAAAGGGCATCGGTCCCACGAAGAGCCAGAGCCCGGCCCAGCTCGCGACCCCCGAGACCCCAAAGCCCCGGCCGCGTCCTGACCGCCAGTCTAAGCGCCTCTGCGGTCCGGTCGGGGCCGAACGGCGTGGCCTCCCACGGCCCCCGGGGACCCCCGCCCGGGGACCCTCCCCCTCCTACCTCCCGGCAGGAGCAGGGAGGCCGGGGACGCGGCGGCCTGGGTGACCGGGATGAACGGCACGTTGAAGCTGAACTCCGTCGCCGAGGAGGAGAAGAGCAGGTTGGTGCCGGACGAGGAGGCCGAGGCGCCGCCGCTGCCACCGTTCGGCTTCCTCTCGGTCATGGCTGCGGCCCGCAGTCCGTTACACGTCTCCCAGTAGCCGGTTCCCACCGCCGGCCGGAAGCCGCGCACCCTGGGGGGGGGGGGGAGAGCGCACTTCCGCACTTCCGCACATGCGCGCTGGAGCCGGAAGGCCGGCGGCTGCGCAGAGGCGCTTCTCGGGCCAGTCCCCGGGTACCACCAGAGACCAACATGGCGTCGCCGGCTTCACGCCCGGGCGCTGGCACGTGACAGCCGCTGGTGCTCGGGGAGGGAGGCTGGGGCCGAGCGCGGAGCCGAGGACCCGAGAGGGGAGGTGCGACCGCTGGCGTTCCAGAATCAATGCACTGGCTGAAAGGACCGTCGCAGAGCACGCTCTGGTCTTCCTCTCCCTATAGGAGAGCTTATCAAGCTTGGAAGAAGGGCGGAATGCCATAGGTACGTGCCAGCTCTGATGCCAAAGGAAAAAGAATTATTGGCAATTCGCAGCCAACGATGGGCCAAACTCACCCACTCCAGCACCCATATGTAACTTACCCAGAATAGAAAGGGTAATATTTTAGAGGTCTTTAAACCGGGTGGTGGGAGGTTGAAAATGTTTACAAGAAAAACCGGGGGATTGAAATACAAGAATGTGCTGCAATCCCAGAGGTGAGCAGTTCGAATCCACCAGATGCTCTGCTGGAGAAGGAGGGACAATCTCCTCCTGTACCAGTCAGATCCGTTTTGACGGTACACACACACACACACACACACACACACACACACACAAAGAAAGCAAAAATAATAAGAATAATAGAAGTACAGGGATAGGCAGCACAATATGAGCACGATTTAGAGGTTGCGCAGACAACTGCTCTCCCGGACGAGGATGATGATCTGTGAGAGAACGAAGCTGGAGCCCAGTGTCAGAAGTCTAGTTTTATAGGCAACTGTCCTGTGATGTCAGTGGTGCCACGTGTTTGCCACTTTATTATCTAGCTAAGCAGAACATGTGCTAATCTTTGGGATGCTGAAGGAGAGATGAATTGGCTTTGGAGTGAGTGTGGCAGTTAAAAAACCCTTCATTTCTTGGACCTGCGTATTTAGCTGTTCTGGAAGGCAGTTTCCTTCTTGAGTTTCAAATACAAGACTGCTACAGTCAAATCACAAAAAAAAAAAAAAAGTACAGGGATGTAAATTTTTAAATAGATTTCAAAAAGGTAGTCTCACATGTTAGGTCACAGGAAGGTAGGACTATCCTCCATCTATTTTCGACCTCGCAGGAGGTCTGTTACATCCAAAGGAATTCCCCCTGCTTGCCATTCTCCCCCCACCCGTCCACTCACAGTATATATTCCTCTCGCAGTTCCCTCTATTGCTCTTCTTGCTTGATCAAGATGAGCCTCTCTTTGGCAGTGCTTGATAAAGCTGGCTCGGTTGTAGAGCTCATGACTCTGTTGTTGAGGAGGGGAGCAGTCTTTGGAAAAGAACATCATGCCTAGAACGGTGGAAGGTCAGCGGAGAAGACCTCAACTGAATAGATGAGGACACAGTGGCTGTAACAGTGGGCTCAAGGATGCCAGAGATTGAGATCTGTTCTTCATAGGGTCCCCATGAGTCATAGTGGGCTCCACACACTTAATGACAACACACAGATCTAGAGAGCTCTGCTAGGTAAAGAGCTCGACTGCCAACCCAAAGGTACATGGTTCAAATCCGCCAGCTGCTCTGTAGGAGAAAGATGGGCGTTTTCCACCCTTGTGATTTACAGCTTCTGAGAACCCACTGGGGGGCCAGCCATGAATCAGTTCTAAAACGATGGCAATAAGAGAGAGGGTGTAATGGTGGTCATTACCCTTAAGTCCCTTCAGACTCAAGGGCAGATTAACAACATATGTATCTACAATATTTTGGCTTATTCAATCCAAAATGCATTATGGATACTTTGAGTAAATTGTTGTTCTTCATATATTTAGACATTATCATAGAAATAATGATAAGTGCTCTTTCAAATTAATGGAGGGTTGAAGGAATCAAGCTTTAAAAGAGATTTAAAAAATACCTTGAAATAATGAAACTTTCCCCCAAGATGTTTGCATCTATTTGAATCTATATGGAAGCTACACATATTCATTAAAGGGGAAGAACCACCACCAATGGCATCATCAGCCCAAATCCAGTTCTTATCAGAGGTCAGATGTGCTCCCATTCCAAATTTTACAAATTTTAACACCAAGCATGCTTCCCATGGCTCTCTTTCTGTATTGGGTTCGACAATACATTGCAATGGCCGCAGAACTCACAGGTCATGTTCAAAGTCATAAGGTTTATTAGGGGAATGTAGCTGTGTGATGTGTCATCAAGTCGCCTGTGACTCTTAGAAACCCTATCTATGTACAACAGCTCTGAAAGCCTGCCCTATCCTGAGCCAGTCTTACTGTCTTCTACATACCTGCCCCGAATGCCCCAGTCACTGTGTCAGTCCATCTCCTCCAGAGGCTTCCTCTCCTGCATTGTCCCTCCACCCTTCCAAGCATGATGCCCTTTTCCAAGGATGGGTCCTTCCTGTCCCTATGTCCAAAGTATGTGAGACAAAGCTTAAAAATCCTTGTCTCCAGAGAGCAACTTGGTTTCACCCTCTCCAAAACAGACCTGTTTGTTATATTGGCAGTCCATGGTATGTTCAATACTCTTCTTCAGCACTGCAACTCCAAGGCATCAATAATTCTTCTGTTACCTTTATTCATTGTCCAGCTCTCTAATGCATAGCAAGTGATTAGGAAGACCATGTCCTGGATCAGGCACGCCGTACTCCTACCTATTAGGACTGCAGAGCCCTTTCCTTCCTCTCCCAGAATGACTACTGAGAGAATCCATTCACAGGAAACAGCAGCTGTGCTTTTTCTCTCTGTGAAACTACCCTAACCCCTGTTCCCAGGGATAGTTATCTGAGACCCCAGCCCACTTCCCTATCTTGAAGGAAGCATCTGTAAGCATCCCCTTCCCCAAGCCCCTTGTAAGAAAATATAAAACCCCCTTCTAACTATTAGTGGGGGCTGGCCTTCGGCTTGAGAGCCTGCCCAGCAATTTCTCTTCAATAAACTGTCTTGGCCTGAGCTGGGCTCTGTCCTTCCTTGGCCACTTTACACTACACCCAGTCATCTGGTGGTAATTACAAAAATCATGGCTGGAAAAGCTACATTAAATCAATCACAGCAATGCAGCTGCTCTATCTGAGCTTGAATACCCAAGAAGCCAGCTCTGTGAAAGGTAACCAGGCGTGATCTGGTGAGTCCTCACTGTCGCTTCGGGCCTCATCTTCAGGGTGAGTGGATTCTCTCTTGGGAAAGCATCTCAGGCCAAACCACATTAGAGGAACCCTGTGGCATTACAGAGGTCTGATCTCAGGACTAGATTTTATTCTCCTTAGGAAATACAGGATTTTTTTTTCTTTTCTAAATGCATCGTGCATGACTAGGTGTCTTGAATTTTGGGTGTGGCAATGAGAAAAGCAGTGTATAAGATTTAACAAACGCTACACAATTATAATGATTAAAAAGAATAGGCAGTCTAGTGTATCCCACGACCGTATTCCAGATCTGATACTTTGAGGTGGTTGGTATTATTTTAGGTGCTGCTGAGTTGACTTCAACTCACTGTAACCTTGTGTGCAAGAAGGTAATCCCACCTGATTCTGCCCTATCCTTGAGATCTGTTAGGCTTACGCTTGTTGTTATGGTAATTGTGTCAGTATATGTGATGCGCTTCTTCACCAATTCTCTCCTTTTCCAAACACAATACACTTTTCCAAAGGCTAGTCCTGATAGAAATCTTAACATTCTTGCCTCTAAGGATCACTCGGAATGCTCTTCTTCCAAAACAAATCTGTTTGTTCTTTTGGCAATCTGTGGTAGATTTCATACTATTGACCAAACCATAATTCAAAGACATTAATTTAAAAATATCAAAGAAGAGTAGGGGGCTCTGGTGGCCTAGTGGCAAGAAGCTGCACTGCAATCCCAGAGATATGCAGTTTGAATCCATCAAATGCTCTGCTGTAGAAGGAGGGGCAGTCTCCTCCGGTACCAGTCGGATCCAATTTGATGGTACACACACAAAAAAAAATAATAAAAAAAAAATTTAAAAATATCAAAGAAGAAAGGGGGAGTCATGGGGGAGTATAACCAACCAGGAGGTCTTCTGACAAATTTCAGTAAATCCTGTTCTGCTTCTCCAGATGTGTTTATGTATATTGAGCTAAACAGAAATCAAGGCTTATTGTATTATCTAAAACAATTTCATCAAGAAAGTCTGAGGAATTATTTTGAGCTCCATTTCCTCAGCAATATTAGCATACTGAGCTATAGCTGCATATAGAGTGCAAATATATTTTTTTCTAGTTGAAATATGCCATAAATGAGGGGGAAATGCTTGCTTGAACAAATAACCAACCCCACCCAAGCCTAACAGCAATGGAATTGCTGGAACCTGGAAGGACACATTTTCTTTTCTATGAACTGAAGTCATTACTATGAAGTCAGAACTGACTCATACCTAACCCTCCAGCAGGTTTTCAAAGGCTGAAGAGATTGTCCAGCTTTCTCCCATGGATCAACTAGTGAATTCAAACCACTGCGTTTGGCTTGTTCGCACAACTCCATACCCACTAGGCCACCACAGCATCCTATCTGGCACAAAGAATTCTACAGTTTGTGAAGTAAACATACATGCCTCCTCCCAGTTGAAGCATGAACTTCTTTTTTTTTTTTTTAAGCATGAACTTCTTGATGTTTACAACCAGGAGTTACCTTTTTATTTCGAGTGTTTTGTTTAGTATCTCAGTGTAGATCCTCAATAAATATTTGGTTTAAGTAACTGTTCTATAGAAAACTGCCACTGTATCCCAAAGAGACCATAACCACCACTGAAGCAGATATATGCACACCCATGTTTGTTGCAGCTTTGTTCACAGTAGCAAAGAGTTGGAAACAACCTAAGTGCCCATCAACAAACGAATGGATAGAGAAGCTGTGGTATAGTCACACAATGGAATACTACGCTGCATTGAAAAACAAGGAACT